TCAACTTTATATGGAAAAACAAAAGACCCAGGGTAGCCAAAATAACCTTGTACAATAAAAGAACTTCAGGAGGCATCACCTTTCCTGACTTTAAGCTCTACTACAGAGTTATAGTTCTGAAAACAGCCTGGTATTGGCACAAAAATAGACAGGTAGACCAATGGAATCGAATTGAAAATCCTGATATAAACCCACACACCTATGAACACCTGATTTTTAACAAAACAGCTAAAAGAATATAATGGGAGGAGGACAGCATCTTCAACAAATGGTTCTGGCACAATTGGATGATGGTGTGTAGAATACTGTAGATAGACCCTTGTCTATCACCATGCACAAAACTCAAGTCCAAATGGATCAAAGACCTCAACATAAATCCAGCCACACTGAACCTCCTAGAAGAGAAAGTAGGAGGTACCCTTGAACAAATTGGTATAGGAGACTGCTTCCTGAACATAACTTCAGGGGCACAGACACTGAGTGCAATAATTAGTTAATGGGACCTCTTCAAACTTAGAAGCTTCTGTAAGGCAAAGGACACAGTGGACAAGACCAAATGGCAGCCCACAGACTGGGAAAATATTTTCACCAATCCTACATCTGAAAAAGGGATGATCGCCAAAATATACAAAGAAGTCAAGAAACTAGTCAACAAAACACCAAATAACCCTATTAAAAAAAATGGGACACAGAACTGAAAAAAGAATTCTCAATAGAGGAAATCAAAAAGGCTGAAAGACACTTAAGAACATTCTTAACTGCCAGGGAAATGCAAATCAATACAACTTTGAGATACCATCTTACTCCTGCCAGAATGGCTAAAATTAGAAACACCAATGACAACTCATGCTGGAGAGGATGTGGAGAAAGGGGAACAACTCCTCTACTACTGGTGGGAGTGCAAACTGTATATTCTTTTAGCTAAGTATATGAAGAAATGGGTGAAGGTAAAGCAAGGAATTATTACCATATGAGAGGTATAGGCCATTTTAGAGCTTTGTGAAAATTTTAATCTGATCTTAAGTAATACATGACTATTTACAATTTATTCTCAGATAGAAGCCAAGGCAGGGACTTGATAGAAGATGAGGAGTCACAGAAATATGGAATGTCATGGTGTTATCAAGAAAGTGTTTGACTGTGTCAAAAGAGAATCAAGAAAGGAAACCATGGGGCTGGAGCTGGCTCTGCATTGAGAGCACTGGGTGTTTCTGCAGAGGATCCTAGTCTGGCTCACATGATCCTCCTGTAACTGTAACTCCATGGAATTTAACTACTTCTTCTGGACTCTGAGGGCTCCTGTATGCACATGGTATACACACATGCACGCAGGGCTACGCAATACACATGAGATAAGATAATAAAATAAGCTTTAAGACAGAAGTGATTCACAGTATCTAATGTTCACAATATGATAATAAACAGGGTGTTTTTTAAACTGTAGAATCAGAAAATCAGTTCATAAAATAGGGGCAGCTACACTCAAATACAATTACTCATTATACATCATAAGCTTTGTCTCCGTGTTATCATGTTCTCCATCAAACTATGTTTAAGGACTCCTTAGAATCTGTGGAACAATACCACAAAGGCAATTTCTAATCATATTGCTTTCTTAGAATCTGGATGTCTTTTTAGGTATTTGAAACCACGGAATTAGCATATCATGATAGGACATCGTTTAAATAGTATGGAAACAATACAATGCAGATCATCATCTACCAGTTCCTCTGGTCTTCCATTTGGAAAACAAGGTAACATTTCATATAGTCTTTCTTTTATAGTATATGCTAACAAATAATCCAAATTTGTTCATTCTTTCCTGCATAATAAAAAAATCATTATATAGGTTAAAGTGCCATGATTAGTACAATATATACTGCTTGTGATATTTTAAATTTACTTGTCATTTATCTTCTTTCAATTTTTAGTTGTTAAAATGTAGACACTAAAAACTTTATTTTAAAATCAGGAGAAAGAAAGAAAATATGGCTTTTTTAAAAATCTACCAACTGTTTATTTTGCTTGTAGGCTTTGGGAAATTTCTTCAACTAGAAGTTGAAGAAAACATTCCATGCCTGACAACATCACAAAATTATTCTGAAGTTTGCAAGTGATGCTATAAAATATCTAGCAATATTTCAACTGCTTAGGAAACATAGCTATGTGAAATGTAGTTTTCCATCAAGCTAAGAAAGAACCAGACAGATAACTAACATTCAGAATATATTTTAAAAGTTAGCTTTAAAGATATGGAATTCCCTAGGAAGGAGAAATAGAAAATATTTACTGGGTAGGCTAGGGGCAGATGGAGATGATTGAGTCAGGAGATGGATGGACGGACGGGGAGAGTACTGAAAGAGATGACTGGAAATAGTTGGGGGGCTTTTAAGGGTCACGTTGAAGCCAGATGCAAGGAAAACTTTCATGACTCTAAAAGGATGACCCCACCTCTGACTCCTAGCAATAGTGAATACATAGCCTGAACAGGTCATCTCTTGTGATCAGATTGGTGACTAACCCAATTGTTATCAGAGAGCCTTCATCCAGTAACTGAAGGAAAGAGTTGCAGAGACCCACAGCCAAACATTAGGCCAACTATAGGGAATCCTACTGAAGAGGGGGAGGAATGATTGTAGGAGACAGAGGGGTCAAAGACACCTCAAGAAAACCTACAGAAGCATCTAAGCTGTCTTATAGGAACTCATAGTCTGAACCAACAATCAAGGAGCCTGCATGAGAAAGACCTAAGCCCTCTACAGGTACATGACAGTTGCATAGCTTGGTCTATTTGTGATACTGCTAACAACAAGATCAGGGGCTATCCCTAATGCTTTGCCTGGTTCTTCGGAACCTATTCCTCATACTGGATTGCCTTGCCAAGCCTTAATACAAAGGAAGGTACTTCATCTTACCAAGACTTGATATGCCATGCTTTGTTGATACCCATGGGAACCCTGCCCCTTTCTGAACAGAAACAGAGGTATTTGGGATTGAGGGCAGATAGGTGAAGGGGGACTGGGGAGGTGGTAGGAGAAGAGGAAGGGGAAACTGCAGTCAAGACGTAAAAACAAATAAGATAATTAAATAAAAAATGGCTACAGAGTAAAATATGAAGGGAAGATTTTTTTTATTATTTTACATTTCGATTCAAGTTCCCTCTCCCTCCCTCCCTCCCTCACTTTTACCCACTCTGCCCTCTTACATGCACACTAACCACCCTCCCCTCCCATCCCCCACCCCATTCCATATGTAGGGGAATGCCATCCAGTTGGGGTCATGTAGATCTGACAGGTCATGTGAAGTAGGGGCTAGGACTTCTCTCCTATCTCTAGGTTAAGGCAGTTATTCCTCCATGGGGGCTGTGTTCGCAAGGTCCTTTTGTGCACCAGGGATACATCCTGGCTCCACTGTCTGTGGTCCCTTAGACTGCTCAGTCCTTCTGGCTGAGACCCATATTCAGGGGGGCCTGAGTCAGGCCCATGCTGGCTTCCCAGCTATCAGTCTGGGGGCCCATTAGCTCCTCCTTGTTCAGGTCAGCTGTCTCTATGTGTTTCAGCAACCTGGCCTTGTCCTCACCATCTGCATCTGAGTTCTAGTTCATCTCAGTGTTTAGGTATGGGTGTTTGCTTCTGTTTACAACAGGTATTAGATGAGGGCTCCATGGATAAGTCAGTTGATGATCTCACTATCTGGGAAGGGCATTTATGGTAGCCTTTCGACGGATGCTCAAATTGTTAGTTGGCAGCAGTCTTGTGGGTCTCTAGACCTTTCTTTGGGTTCAATTTTCTCTTCAAACCAATATTGGCTCCCTCTTTTATGTTCTCTCTCTCTCTCTCTCTCTCTCTCTCTCCTGTCTTCTATTCCTAACTGGACTCAATCTTACTAGTCGCACGTGTTTTCCTCTCCTCCCCCTTGCTTTCTCCTCCTTCTCTCTCCATTCACTGCCCCCCCACATCCCCTATGCTCTGGGGGACTTGTCCCTTCCCTGTTCTGTGAGGGACTTTATATGAATCTCTTAGAATACACCTTGTATCTTAATTCCTCTGGTGGTATGAATTATAGGCTTGTGATCCTTTGATCTAGGTCTAAAATCCATATATGAGTGAGTACATACTGTATACCTCTTTTTGCGACTGAGTTACTTCATTCAGGATGGTTTCTTCAAGTGCCATCCACTTGCCTGCCAATTTCAAGATACCATTATTTTTTTTTCTGCAGATTAGTATTCCATTGCCAGTACTGGTGGCGCAGGCCAGTAGGATTTGCTGAAGGAGGCAGAGGCAGAGGCAGAGGCAGGTGGATCTGGAGTTCGAAGGGAAGATTTTAGAATAATATTATTTAAGTTTTAATTTGGTCAAATGGAGAGAAGAAATTGGTTTACAGGCTGTCAGGAAACCTTGTAGACTTACTTCTCATTGGGTATAGAATTAAAGATGGCTCTAGCTAAAACAATCTCAGAAACTGTGGTCTCAGGTCTCACATTATTAAGCATGTTAGATGAAGATGGATAATACGCAGTAGCTTGTGTCAGCTTCACTTTCTAGCCTGAGTAGAACAACATTGTTCAGGATCGCTGACTCTCAGCCAAGTCTCATTTCCAACTACTACTTCTCTTTGTTATATAGCAAGGCTTTATGCATTAATTCACCTAAAATCCATTTTCAAAAGGAATTTCTGTTATATTTCATCCTTCTGATAATCATGCTTCACAAAAATGTCTATATGCTGAGATAACATATAGGAATTTATGATGTTTCCAAATGAACCATCCACATTTTAACAAATGTGGCTTTAAGTATCTTCTATTATGGAAAAAAGAAAGTCTCAAAATAAATTGTGATATTTCTATTGTGTTCATAAAATTTCTCAACATATCCTATTTTATTCATCTTCGTTACCTTTTTCACTGTGTTATAACAATAAATAAATGATTATTTCATTGTTTCAATAAGATAAATTATTACTTTTCTGTGCATGTTTTATAGGACCAATCAACCATGAAGTTCTTCATCTTTACCTGCCTGGTGGCTGTTGCTCTAGCAAAGCAGGTAAGTAAACAGGTATATGATGCTATGGCTTCATTTTTGAATTATGAAAATAGTAAAACTTTTACTATACAAAAAAGGTGTGGGCATTGTCAACAATATATAGAGACTGAGCCTGTTACCTTGTAATCTATGTCAGTGATAATATTGATCTGACCTTATATGAGATACAAGGTTGGACAGTTATGCTACAAAGAGTCAAAACTGAGATTCATAAGTGTAGACAATGGGAGGAGAGAATTGCTTCCCTTCCAGAGTATGTTGTAATTTTAATTAGAGCTATCTGCAGGAGCCTTTTCTACTTCCAGTGTGCTCTGGATGTGAAAGGAAATTTCACCACCATAATTTTGATTTCCAAAGTCAGTTGTCAGTGAATTGACAGAATTGTGTCACTCTTGATTTAAAAATAGTTTAGAAATTATGATGACAAAGTACACCTGATGACCTGCAGAGCTGGCAGATGGCTTAGTAGATAAAGCACTTGGTGCACAAGCACAGAGATGGTCTTTGGGTTCCCTGAATCCATATAAAACCTCCAGTGAGCAGAAGAGCCTGGAATCTAAACATTTGGAAAACAAAGACCTCAAGATTGTGAATTCCAGAACAAGCAGGCTTGCAAGATTAGTTTATTCAGGGAACTCTGAATTCAATAGAGAGATCTTATCTTAGTGAATAAGGTAAGATGATATCAGGGAAGATACCCAATGTAAACCACAGGGACTCACAGTCAGTTCACATATGAATGCATGCCTATGCCTGCACATGAGGACATGAATACATACATACGTGCACATACATACCATAAACATAACAAAAAAGACTTTAATGGAAATAAATACTAGTAGACTTGGATTTTAATGCAATTTATTTACCAATAAAACTAGCAAAGAGATAATAATGATGATGACAATGTCACAAATTCAAAGCATGTAAGAGATAATATGTTTTAAAGTACTTTGTTATCATAGATTTTAGTCTTTCTTTTTTATATAATATTTAAAATTTAAATTTGAAACAAGCTTGTTTCACATGACAAACCCAGTTCCTACACCCTCCTGTCCTCCCCTGTTCCCCACACAAACCCCCATCCCATCTCCTTTCTGTTCCCCAGGGGAGTAAGGCCTTCCATGGGGAGTCTTCAAAGTCTGTCATATCATTTGGAGCAGGGCCCAGGCCCTTTCCCATGTGTCTAGGCTGAGGGATTATTCCTCTATGTGGAATGGGTTCCCAAAGTCCATTTCTATACTAGGGATAAATACTGATCCACAACCAGAGGCCCTATAGACTGCCTAGGCCTCTTAACACCCACATTCAGGGAATCTGGGTTGGTCCTGTGCTGTTTTCCCAGCTATCAGACTGGAGTCCATGAGTTCCCCCTTATTCAGGTCAGCAGTTTCTGTGGGTTTCTCCATGCTGGCCTTGACCCCTTTGATCATCACTCCTCCCTCTCTACAACTAAATTCCAGGAGTTTGGCTCAGTGTTTAGCTGTGAGTGTTTGCTTCTGCATCCATCAGCTACTAGATGAAGGCTCTAGGATGGCATATTAAGTAGTCATCAATCTCATTATCGAAAAAGGGCATTTAAGGTAACCTCTCCACTATTGCTTAGATTGTTAGTTGGGGTCATCCTCACACTTTCGAGGATCACTTCTATAGTTTGTAGTCTTTCAGAATTACCTCTACCCTCATTCTGAACCTAAACTATAATTATCTTTGATAAAGAAGTTAATGTACAAAGAAAACTAACAAGATGCTTTGGAAATATTATGCAGGATCCACAGTTTAAAGTCTATCACAGAAGAAATCCACAGTTTAAAGTCTATCAGTGTAATATGCAAATGATAGCTCAAGATCTTCTAAAGCACCTTGTGTTGAAGTTGTCCCATACTAAAACTGATATTTGAGGCTTATATAATTTTTCAAAGACAGCCCTTTCACACTAAATTTGTCCAAGAAACTGTTTTTCTTTTAACTAAACTAAACTTTTAACTGTGTTTGACGTGTGTGTGTGTGTGTGTGTGTGTGTGTACATGCCACAATTCTCATGATGAAGTCAGAGGACACCTTATAGGAGGAGTTGGAAAGCAGCTCTTGCCCTCTGTCATGTGGTCTTGGGTATGTACTCATGTCCTTATGCTTGGTGGCAAGTACATACACCTGCTGAGTCATGTCACATGCCTCAGCTTTTGTTTTAAATTTTGCTGCAATTAAGCAGTAGAAAAGACATATACCTTACCATTTTAAGTAAGCCATAAAAGTTAAATTCATGTTTATTTTTATTTATATAGGTAATAAAGGATGAATCCTCCAGTGAGGTAAGGTACTTTATTGTGAATACGAATTTGGGAACCTAATAGTAAGTAACATGTCTTTGCTCATACATATTTTATGAGCAGCAATAATGATTTATAAAGCCATAGAAAAATTAGAGTTCAGCCATTGAAATAAAAAATTATGGGGAAATAAACAGCATCAAACTTACATATATTTCCCATGCTGACTGTCTCATCGTTCAGTAATTCTGATGTCAGTATAGGAATCCCATTGTGTTGCAAATGGTGAAGGTAATTTTTTACATCTCCTTCTTGAGTACTGAATGTAGTCTGCATCTATGTAGGACAGCATTTCCTGAATGCCTTCTTCCCATGCTTCACTAACAGATTCCAGATCAATGGCACCCCACAAACTGCTGTGCTCTCCTGCCAGGATTCCATTTAAAAATCAAAGGAATATCTTTAAAAGGTTAAGAAGGAAGAATAAAATTGTTCCTTCCCTCTTCGCTGCTGCCATCCTAAATAAAACATTGCTAGAAAACTCTTGGATTCAATAGTCAGTATTCTTCAATTCTTCCATGGGTATTATGGGTAAAATTATTTGTATGTAATCAAACTGTATTATCATTTTTCCTAAGGAAACTGCCAGTTCCTACCATGGAGTAAGTTATAGTTTCTTACATTAAATATATTTTAAAATACCTTTTCAATTAATATTGCCATAAAATTAATGTTTTTATTTCTTTTCAGAGGTATAAGCAGGGCAATAGTGTGTTCTTCCAAACAAATCAGGTAAAATTAATTTATTAATGGTTGTACTGACCACTGGGCCAAACGACTGCTATTTATTCAACTTTGAACTTCAAATGGTCAATGTTTTCATAATCTTAGCTCGTCATTATGCAATATTGTGCTCAGATTCTACAGTAGTGTCTCATTTTGAAGCCTCATTTTCAACAGGTTATTTCAATATAATCCCATGGTGGAGATAATGTATTAGGATACATCTTTCTAGGGAAAATGGGCTTCTCTTATTTCATAAATAATATTATAGGATCAATGTGCCTAATTCTTTGTAAATTAGGCAACCACAAATAAAAACAGATAAGACACTAAAAATTTTTATTTATCTTAACTATATTTGATTAACAATATTTATACTTGATATGAAATATTACTACTATCCCACAGACCTTTCTCAATACTCTTCCTTAAATGTGCTAGAAAGCAGTATCTATAATCATTTGGACTACAGTTTGACTCTAGCTACACTAATTTTATCCCTTTGTGTTTCCCTATGCTCATTAAATCCCATTTAAACACCTGATAAACTACATCTTTCCCATATATTTTCCTGAATGTGGTTAATAATCAGTATCTATGAACTATAATTCAATGCTTTATCTCTATCTTCCCTCTCATTTTGCATATTAGTAATCTAGTAGGAAATCAATATGGTATGAAGTTAAGGTAATCTCTGCTTCTTGGGGAATACTGTTGAGAAATCGCTTTTCATGTCACCAATTCTTTTGTTTTACTTTTACTTGATTTACCAAGGACTCTGCCATCAGTTCATCCAGTGAGGTAACTTATTATTTCTTCTGTGTTATTTTTTGGAAACAGTGACTTAAGCATATTGTCCTATAAATATTTGATATTTCCTAGGAGATACACATATAACTACTTAATGGAAGAAGTGAGTCTCAAAAATATCCTATCATAGCTTAAATCGATTAAATTCATAAAATTAACATGTATTACACCCTGTTCTTTGCTGTAAATTTGACTCCACAAAAAGATGAATCAGGAACTCTGTGTTGAACTAAAAATTCTACATTTTAATAGGGTGTTGATGGCGCAGTGCTTTGATCCCAGCACTCGGGAGACAGAGGCAGGTGGATCTCTGTGAGTTTTAGGTCAGCCTGGTCTACAGAGCTAGTTCCAGGACAGGCTCCAAAACAATACAGAGAAGCCCTGTCTCAATATATATATATATATATATATATATATATATATATATATATATATACACACACACACACACACACACACACACACACACAACAACAACAACAACAACAACAAAAAAACCCTCTACGTTTTACTAAAGACACTCTCATATTAAATATGGAGAACCAATTCAATAGTGTGAGAAGAAGGTTTAGGTCAGGTATTAAGTATTAAGTATATAATAAGGCAACCTTCTAGGCCTTTGGTTGATAACAATGATGGCAAATTGAAGTATGCCTTATAAGGGCTAATAGCAGTGCATTTGGTCATAATCTGGATCCTCATGACCTTGGATGATGCCTGAGATCTTCACAGCCAATGTCTCAGAAAACAGGTCTCAGCCATTATAAATGTACATCTCAGTCTCAGACTGGGAGCTTCCAACAGTATCTGTCATTGAGAGAAGACTCATGAGGCTTAATTCACCTCACTTCCCATTAAACATGCCCCATCCCCAAGCTCCTTCCTCTCTCCTACATTTTTCAGGAAGAATTCAGGGTCTAATTCTGTAACTGTGTTGCCTTGAACCTACACTAATCCTATTGCCTCAGTTTACTGAGTATGCTGGGATTATAAGTATAGTTAATGTTATGGCTGGTCTTATTCATTTATTTTGATCACTTGCTTACATTCCATGTTTAAAAGTAAAAAAGAAAAAATCTGAATAAATTAGTATTAAAGTGTTGAATTAAAATATAATCTATTTATGCTATTACTTTTATAAAGGAAAAAGGAAATTTAAAGAGTTCTGATAAAGATTTCGCCTATTTAATTCCCAAATAGCTTAATATCTTAGTCCTGAGTGGTTGGATTCTGAATATTTAGATAATTGCCCCTGACAGTCTACTAAAATCACTTATATTTATCTATTGCAATATTTATCTATTGAAGTAAAGCTACTTTTTTCCCCATGTTTTCCTTTAGGAATCTGCTGAGGAAGCCAATGAGGTAAGTAATTATACTTTAACTAAGTTACTTTCATTTACAGCATTTCTGTTTGCATCTTTCTGATACATGCAATATTTTAGCAGAAAATTATACAGACTGAAGAACAAAAGATCAACCTGAACCAGCAGGTAAGTTTGTCATCACCATATCATTTCTTCCCAAGAAAGTACTCAATATCAAATCTTGACAAAACTATTGCCATATATGTGAATAATATACTTAAAATAAATAAAGAATTTTAACAAAAGCTAGGCAATCTAACTAAATTCAAAATAATTTGCAAACTCAGAAAAATATTTGATCTGATTTCCTAGTGATACCTGCATAACATCTCAGTCATATAATTAGTCAAAATGCTTCTCTTTGAATGAAGATAAAAGACAGATGATTTAGGTAAAACGTTACTGAATGTTGTCATTCTGAAGCCCAACACAGGAGACAACAGAGATGTGCAATGCAAGAAAGAATGAGAGGATTGAATATTGGCGAATCCCTTCCAAACTTGAACTCTTTGAGCAGTTACCTAACCCCTCCAAGCTACATCTTCCTTAACCCATGGCTGCAAGTTTTAAAAGGATATTAGAGGCAATTGCAATCTACATAATAGAAGTTTGCAAAAATGAATAAACAAAAGGATAGCAATCATTGACTTTACACATGTACAAAAAAATCTATTCTAAGACTAGCATAATGAGATTCATGTTGTGCCACTAAAAACAAGGTAAAATAATCTATTTTTAAAGAAATAGCCATCTAATACTTATTTATCACAGCATGTCTATATCCTATTGGCAATTGGCACTGGACCCTTACACCATTCTCACTTATGTGCTCATCTTAACTGACACCCAACCAAAGATACATAGATGTTCTACACATCTACTCTATTACTGTCTGTGTGAAATTGAAATTCTCTGCAAATAAATGTGCTTTTTATGTACTTTCTACTTTAACACAATTACTTGTAAGCAAGCTAGCTACAGCCAAATCAAAGTTGAATCATTTCAAGATGGGTATATAAGATAGATACTATACAAGCCACTGCATCCATGAGTTCAAGTGGTTTCTCAAATGGTAATGCAGTAAGATATTAAGAAGTTATCATTTTTTAATTATTTAATTTTATATAACAAAGTCCAATTAAATGAAAACAAACATTTATACACAATATTTGGGAATTTGTGCGTCGTTCTTTCCAAACTACTTCCTGCTGGTAAGGGGCGCTGTCATGGGGGATTCGAAGAAGATTCAGATATCCTAGCTGTAGTTTGTAGGGCTGTTTTGTCCAGCTGTTTTGAATGTAGGATCAGCTTGTACTCTGTTTCAGGCAGTCTGGCGTGATCAAACCACATTAGTCTGGAAGGAATCCACATCTTTTCATTTTCTGTGGAAGCAAAAATAGAAATCCTTTTCCCCAGTAACTTGTCCTTCAACTTAAATTTTGGAGTCAAAGCATTTTTTAAATTTATTATTTTACATGTCGATCCCAGTTCCCTCTCCCTCCCTCCCTCCCCCCCAGACCTCCCTCCCTCCTTCCCTCCCTTTTACCCTCTCTGCCCTCTCACATGCATTCTAAACACCCTCCCCTCCCATCGCCCACCCCAATTCCATATGTAGGGGAATGCCATCCAGTTGGGGTCATGTAGATCTGACAGGTCCTGTGAAGTAGGGACTAGGGCTTCTCTCCTGTCTCTAGATTAAGGCAGTTATCCCTCCATAGGGGATATGTTTGCAAAGTCCTTTTGTGCACCAGGGATACATCCTGGCTCCTCTGTCTGAAGTCTCTTAGACTGCTCAGTCCTTCTGGCTGAGACCCATATTCAGGGGGGCCCGAGTCAGTCCCATGCTGGCTTCCCAGCTATCAGTCTAGTGGCCCTTAGCTCCTCCTTGTTCAGGTAAGCTGTCTCTATGTGCTTCTGCTGCATGGTCTTGTCCTCTCCATCTGCTTCTGGGTTCTAGTTCGACTCAGTGTTTATGTATGGGTGTTTCCTCCTATTTTCAAAAAAAAAAAAAAAAAAAAAAAAAAAAAAACAAGCAGACCATTAGTAAGAATATTGAATCAGAAATAGAAATCTCATTGTCCTAAATCTTAGTAATTACAATCTTTGCAACTTGTGGCTTAAAACAAAGGAAATTAAGTCAAATAAATTCCCTATGTGTTCAAATAAAAAAAAAGTTATCCTACAACAAAGTAAATATCAATATCAGTATCAATAATTGAGAATGCAGGCATCAAACTTCTTGACAGAAACGTTAAAAACAAACAAACAAACAAAACAGAAATAGCAATGTCAGATATTTCCCAGACAACTCTCAACTTCTACATTTTAAACACTTCTTCTGGAATCCTAACCTAATAATGTCTTCAGTTCTAAAATTCACTTTATTCACTTTTGCATTGTATTACATAATAGAAAATCTTTTACTCAGTAAACAAAAACATAGTTTTGATACTTATGTAGATTTTAATGCATCCAGATACACTCTCACCCATAGAAAATAGTCACTCCATAAATACCAGTTCATTGATTCCCTTCTAGAAAAAAGTCAAGCAGTTTTCCCGGGACTTTTCCTGCCTCCAGTCTTGCATATCTGCTCCTCAACAGCAGACTGTTAGCAACCCATGGGGCCAGGGCAAGGCCATCCATAACATCCCCAATCAGGTGAGTGCTGCATTTTTGATTTGTGTTGTTTTTACTCTTGGCTTCATTTGAAAACTCGTTAACTGAAGGGAAAAGCTCCAAGAAAATTGGATATAGAAAGTAGAAAACAAGCTTTTAATGACATTTTCTGGAATACAAATTGAAACAAATCATACAGACAAATTACTATTTGAAAAGTCTTATAAATAATTCAAGGAAAAGGCAAATTGCATATAACTCTTATAAATATGAATTTATGTATGATTTAATGTGATTATGAAAACATATTTGGGAAGACAAGAATACTAGCTTTATTTTCAAAAGCAATCTGAAATCTAAAGAAGTCAATCCAATTGTTAATATTCTATTTGCTGAGTCCACTTCAACAAGGCTTTTTGTCTTTGAAACAGGAGAAACAAGTGGAACCATAGGAAACAGTGCAGGAGGTAGGGTCTTATCTACAGCTTAAGGTGTGAAGTCAGGTGTACAGGAGCCAGCTGCTGATCTAACAAAAGCAAGCCATGTGGCATATGACCTTGGGGACATCTTAGCTCTTCTCTGTCTTTCTTGTGAATTATTTTCCTAAATGTTCTCTAGAAGCTAAAAAACCATCACTATCATCAGACTAAATAAGCTTTCATATATTGTTTTGAACACTAGATGATTATGAAACGTTAAATGTTAAAATCTGTGTGCAAATGAAATAAAAGAAGTGTTGATGCTTTGTTATGCCCAGGAGGTGGCAGCATTGGGAAGCAAAGACTGTAGCTTAGATCTCAGCTGTTAAACAGTGGAAAAAACAACAGGCACCCCCCCACCCCTCCACCCCCACCCCCCAGAACAAGAAGTTATTTAATTCCCAAGTCCTTCTTGAAGTAGTGATATTTCATGTTTTTATTTTTGAGGAATTCATATATGAGTAATATATTTACATTTTCCATTCCACCTTCCACCTTCTTCCTCCCACTCCTCAAATTAATGTTTTTTTTAATTCTTTAATTGGCTATTACATGCAAAGCATAGGCATATGTTTATGTATATTTGTAACCTCCTGGAATTGGTTACAGGATCAGAAAGTTTTCCCTGGAGAAGGCTGTTTATCCCTCTCTCAGAAACCATTAATTGCCTGTAGCTCTCATCTAGAGGGAAAGACCCACGAGAATCCCTGATCCATGTTGGCATGGCAATTGATGTTGCCATTTTTTAGGTATTGCCTTTAGGCAACCTTATCAATAAGATTTCCTAGGTGTAGCTTCCCTGTCAAATCTAGAAGATACTATCTCACAGCAGATGACTTCCTCCTCTGGCTCTGACAATATTTTTACTTCCTCTCCCACCATGTTTCCTGGGCTTTATATGTAGGGGGTTGTGCAATAGTTATTTCAGTTGGCAAAGGCACCCCACACTCTGTTGTCCTCTATATTTTGACCAGTTATGTATTTTTCTAATTATTTCCATTTCCTACTGAAACAAGTTATTTTGATGAGAAGTGAAAGCAACACTCACCAGTTGGAAACTATTTAGGTCAGTTCGTAGATCTAAACCTCCAGCCAGCAATCAAGCAGCCAAATCAATAACCTCATCAAATAAAGTACTGTAGCAACCATTGATCTCTGATGCTCTGTCTTTGCTACATCCCTTAAGACTGTTCCTTTGGCATATACTATGGTGTTTTGGTGTCTCCCTGGCACCAAAGTCAATTTTATAGAGAAGCTAAGGTAGAGTTTAGCAAGAGCTATTTACACAGTATTGGATTAGAAAATAGCCAATATTATCTCTTTGCTATTTTTTTTATTCTGTTAAATTTTTTTTCTGAGACAGGGTTTGCATTTCATTTTATATTCCAACCACAGTTCTTCATCCTACCCCTCCTTGCACCGTCCCCTCATACTCCCCGCCCACCCCCAGTTCACTCTTCCTTGAGGGTAAGGGCTCCCATGAAATGTCAACAAAGTCTGGCACAATAGGGTGGGGCAGAGCTAAGCCCCTCTCCCATGCATTAAGGCTGAGCATGGCATCCCACTCTAAGGAATTGGTTCTAACAAGGTAGCTCATATAACAGGTTTGTATTGTGGTCCTACTGCCAGGGGCAGTTTCAAGCTTCCCAACTATCCCCCACATATGGAGGGCCTAGTTTTGCTCCTGGAGTCTCCACAGCTGTTGACCTAGAGTTCTTGCATTTCCAAGAGCTTGCTTCAGCTGTCTCTGTAGATTTCTCCTTCATGATCTTGACCTCCCTTGCCCATACATTCCCCTCCTTCCTATCTCTTTGACTGGATTCCCAGAGCTCAGATAGTTGGCAGTCACTGAACCAAGTTGTGGTGCCCATCCACAGCTTTATAAGATGTGATTCTCAAAATGGAATCAAGTTCTCACACCAGTGCTGATTTCAAAGATTTCTCCCTACTGATGTTATGTGGCCTAAAGGCACCTGGAATGGCATCTATGATTTACCTAGTTTTATTCCATTGCACCTTACTTATGATTAAATTAAAAGAGCATTATAGTAAGTAACATCATACTATATAAATAATTTAGTGTCTTATTTTTATTTCTTTTCTCAGGAATCCATCAGCATCATTGTGGAGGTGAGTCATGACTACAAAAATTGCATAAACTTTTGAAATTTTGCTTTTAATTTTATAGTTAGTGGTTATACAAGTGCTACTCAGAATGAAAGTCCATGGAACTAAGTTGATGAACTACATTATATCCCACAAAAAATGAAGATAGTATTAATTACTGGTTCCAATAGTTACAAAACCCTAACAGTTCTAAATGTTATTGAGCTTTTATTAGAGTTTCTTAACTAAGCAAATATTTACCAACTTTTTCTGAAATTATCTCTCATACAAATGGTATATAAAGATCACTCAAGACACAGATGTGGGCATTTCTTATGCAAATATTTATTGAGCATAATTGCAACAAGCATTATTCAAAATATTTTACTATGCTAACAAAATTAAACACATGAATTCATCCATTTTATTTAGGAAGCATATAGTCAACATGCAAATATCTCACCTAAAAGAATCTAGATAATAGAAACAAGAAAATGAGTAAAATGGGCAAACTCAATTTAGAGTGCATACTCAAAGCAGTAAATGCATGTTTTTTATTGGAGGAATTCAGACATAATTCAAACAGTGAACAATCATCATGCTTGTGTTTCTGGCAGACAGACTAGTCTTTGTTGTTTCTACTAATAAATTGAGCAGAGTAAAAAGAGTACTCAATTCAGCATATATGTTACATTTTTGTTTGCTTTCTCAGGAAATCCTGAAGAGGATTATTGATATGGTAAGTTTTTTGAGTTGTATGCAGCCCTATGTAATATAGATGTTTAAAATATGAAGAGTGAGCATGATTGGAAATGTCACTTTTTAAGAAAAACAGATTCTTTTAGATGTCTGAAAGTAAATTTTTAGTGAGTTATTATTCAAAATCTTCCCCATAATTGTCTGTGATTCTGTCAATTAAAATTTTTAAATTATTTGCACTTGTATACATTTGGATTTTTTTCTGAATTTTACATTGATTTTTTTAAAATTCTTTGTTGATGGCTTTATTTAACCTGTCATAGTAATGACTGTGTTGGCATATGAACTTTCCTGTCAAGTAACAGTTTATAATTTTGAGTCATTACAAACTTACTTATGTTATAACCTTCAGACTTTTATAAACATTCTCATCTCTTAAGGACATTTCAAGTAATTCATGTAATAAAGTAGATTGCATTGTCTCATAAATCAAAGAAATAAACAATTGATTTAAAAAAAAAGATCACTTTTTTCTGAGTTACAATTCCTAATAAGTTGGTAATTTCCCATCTTACTAATTATGTCAAAATATATGATATAATATTACTGATAATGAAAATTCCTGTCTATAAGCATAAATCTTTTATTCCAATTAATACGTTACTCAATCCCCCAATAATTTAAAACTAAATTCAAGACAAGTAATTAAATTTTTATTTGATTTTTGATATGCATGATATGAAAATCAATATGGGTCTAATTTTTTAAAAGAATTACTTGAGAAATTATCTGATGATTGTAGAGTAGTTAGAAATATCAGCATAGAGCATGTTTTTATTTTAAGTGATTTAGTTTAAATATCCACATGGTAAAACTGCATCCAGGCCTCTCTCTAATAGTTTGACAGGACCCAATTTCTCAAAACAAAGGTGTCTCAGTCATTAGTATCAAACCACAGCAGTTCATGTAACCATTTACTGAGTCTAAAACCATCTGTGTATCAGTGAACCAACACAGGCTGCATAGTCAGGTGACTCACCATTCCTGTTATCCTACTCTTTACCATATAAGATTTTTAATTACTTCGTTCTTGGATACTCTAATGATTTTTGTAATATTTATAAACTGTATCTTAGAATGTTGGAGACACAAAAATAATTTCATTAAGTCTACAACCATAGATGCACCATGCACACTTCACTAGAAATCAAGATAAAACTTTCCATTCTTTAGAACTAGGCTTCCCATGCAGGAAGCTGTATTTATTCTCTGGATTCATCCATGGTAAATTCAACCTAGAACGTTTTAAAGATCTTGAGTGGAACTATACATAAAATGTATGCCATGGGCTATTCAGAAAGCTCTGTGATGCTATGAGAGATTAAGAAACAGGATCAGAGGCATAGACTCCAGAGTACAAGTCATGACACATCATTCTGAGCCTCCCATACTGTAAAGGTCATACATGAAAACATAAGTCATATCTGGAGACAATTATCAGGCTCATTAAATTTTCTTTACTTTCTTCTGACATACAAATTTCCCTTTTTATTTTACAAACATTTGTGTCTACTTATGAATTAACAAGATTTCCTCAGTTCAATAGCATATTATGTAACACAAAAATGGTTATGCTCATTTTGATACTAGAAACATTTTAGTCTAGAGGGTTTTTGAAATAACTTAGAAAGTGCCTAAATAGCTGAAGTTAAACTCACTAGCTTCTGTTCCTCACTGTTTTGAAGCTTAGAGGAGAGTAATAATAGTTTTTTGATTTTTTTTTTATTTCTTTTAGGTCAAGAACAACCAGTTTAATCAGTTAAACATCCCCCAATTTCCCCAGGCTGTTCACCAACAGCAGACACCTGTGGTCTACTGGAATAAGCATTCCCTCTACCCATATGCTCCCTATGTGGTATGTGAATTGGGAAAATATGTTCAAATATAATATTAGAATGTAAATAATATAATTATATATAATATAAAGTATAATTGTTGACTTCACAAGAAAAGTTATGTAATAAGATGAAATAAAATATTTTCACATAGAAATAAAATAGTTTAAATTTAAAATGTCAAGGACATTTAAAAATCATGTTATTTAATCAAAGTTCTTAGAATTTTATCAAGAATAGCAACTGTTGATTTGTCATTGTCACCAATGACAAAGACTTGAATTGATATTTTATTTAATTTCCTACATAGAGTGTTTTCCAGGAAAATTGAAGATTAAGCATTGGACAAAATGCATCCATTTTATTTGTTTTATTTTTAATTATATGAATGTTTGAGTGTCTGTAAGGGCACGTGCATGTAGAGTTCCTGGTTCTGCCTAGAACAGGAACTATGGTCTGTTATGAGCTGGATAGGATGGCTCCTGGGGTTCTTGGGAAGAAAAATTTGAACTCTTGATTACTGAGCCATCTCTATTGTTTCAGCTTTTGAAAATTAATATCATCTTGAATGCTATAATTATTTACTGAGGTAGAAACACTAAATATTATTAATTTTATAAAAGAAATCAAAAGTTAAAGAAGAGTGGATGTAAGGTGTAGTCAGTGGTTCTACCTTCATCCACTTAGCAAAAGTCTTTGGCTCAGGATGTTTTCCTCCACTAACATGCAGAAAAAAACAGTGGAACATGACACTGAAAATCACTCTTTTGATTTTGTTTCTAGGCATGAAGCAATCATTAGACAAGCTTCAGTATAGGAAGCAAAACTCATACTTTAGGTTCAATGTTAGGTGCTCAGAGAACATACTTTTGGTGAAACGCAAACATCCTTAGAGAGTTAAAATGCACTGTATTTCCTTCTTTCAGAGATAACCTTTATTAACTGCTATATCCTAGACATAAATACATTTGGCCTGGCCATTGAACAACATTTTCATGCTACAGTAAAAGAAAAAAGTCATACTACAACTATTTATCAAAACTTCATTGAAATTTTATTTATTTTTTATTTAAATTTGCAACAAGCTTGTTTTACATGAGGATCCCAGTCCCCTCACCCTCCTCCCCACTTCCCCTCCAAACCCCCATCCCATTCCCTTTCTGCTCCCTAGGGGAGGGTAAGGCCTTCCATGGGGGATCTTCAAAGTCTGTGTTATCATTTAGAGCAGGGCCTAGGCTCTCCCCCATGTGTCGAGGCTGAGAGAGTAACCCTCTAGGTGGAATGGGCTCCTAAAGTCCACTAGTATACTAGGGATAAATACTGATCCACTACCAGAGGCCCCGTAGATTGCCCATTGAAATATTTTAAGTTTTGCTCTGAAGTCTTTATTTGCCATTCAGCCATTTGTGTAACTTGGATGTATATACCAATTATGAGTACTTAAAAATAAATAATACAAAAATTCCTTTGTGAAATAGAACTGATTCAACTGGAAGTAATAATATCAAACAAAATTGTCAATAGCATAAGTAGCTGTATTGGTATACACAAATGTCTTCCTTGCAGAAGATATATCTGTCTAGCTTTTTGTACAGAGAGATTGGTGGGTAGATATGAAGGTTTATTCTATGCATTTTCTTTCTTTACAATTTCAAGCCATATATAATAGCATTTCCTTCTTAGAATAATTGGTGAATCTGGGAGTATAAATATTTCTCAATTATTGGAAACATTACATAGAATACCTTTTATAAAATGTATTGGAGAATTTATCCCCTAAATATCAACTAGGCAATCAATAATTATTAATAGCTACTTTTTCAGCACTAGTATGCCATTAATATAATGTTAATTAGTGTTAATTATATCTGGACACACATATGTTTGCATACACATATAGATAAACATATATATGTATATTGTATATATTTTGATAATATGTGTTTTTGATAACATATTATTTCCTTTTTGTTCATAGGTTTAAGTAGAAAACTGATTTCTGCAAAGTTTCCCCATCATATGATCTCTTACCATCAACATTCCCTAAGATGTTTCTTGAAAAGACAATATTGAGTCAAGACAAAGAGAGAGTGGAATATTTTCTGTGTTGTTTATAATCTTCTTTGTGAAATGCATTGAATGTGCCAGTGTTGGATTACAGAACCATATTTACTATATTGTTTAACTGAGGTCTTTTCAGTACTAATTATGAGATAAGAACCAAAATATCTCTTGTCAAAACATTAAAATTTTAAATGCACTTTACTGTGTGATCTTTTCACTCAGATTCATAATATGTTGAGACCAGGCTACTCTTACTGGAACAACCAGTTCTATGAAAATAAAAGTTAAGCAACCATGAAGGACACAGAAATAAGTTTGTAAATTTGAGAACATTAATTCCAAGTGGTTCTCTCATACCTTTGAATGCTTTCAGATTTATTGGTTTTAACCATTTCTATTTTCACCAGCAAGCACCATTTGTTTGCTTTTCCCTCCTTCTATATCTATATACACACCACATCAGCCCCAAAATTCTAGCAGAGTTCTCACTGTAGCCATACTTGGTATTTGAACAGTCTCTAACCTGTAGAAATCAAGTCAGTCTCTAAGACCTGAAACATTTAAAGAACTTCTATCAGTTTAGACTTCTTTTAAAAATGGTGAGTGCCTATGATATGATGAGCAAATTTGTAGATGTAGAACCTATTTCACCATGCTCTCATTTTAATCGTTGAAGTAAAATGACAAGGAAAAAAACCTAGAGGTGATGTGTTACATGATGGTGATTTCACCAAAGAAGACTAGAGTAGGCAAGTAAAATACTGATAGAAGCTGGAAGAACTTTGGACAATGAAGTGAGAATTATGTCTAAAAAAGCAGAGGAATAGAACTACATCAGAAAAACAATGAAAGAAAATTCATATAACAACTATGTGAATGCAATACATGAAAAATGCCGAACACATTGTGAGAACTTCAAAGAATGGAAAGAATTTTATAAAACGCAATAGTGAGGTCTTGACACTTGCATTAATCAGTTGATTTGATGTGGTAGATCATCATTTGCAGATGAACCTTGCTATATAATATACATTTTGGAAAGGTAGGAAGCAGGAGGCTATTGTCCAATTAGTTAAGGATTCTCATATCACATTCACTTGTTTCTACTTCCCTTTGCCTCACCTAGACTTTACCACAGATTAATTTTAATGTCTTATTTAATAGTGTACATTGCCTTTCTACCATTGATCAATTGAAAAACTCCTGGCTCCATAACCCCATAAAATAGACTTCTATCACTATCTAACCTAGACCCTAAATTCAAAAGAAAAAGAAAACATCTAACAGCACAGCTATTGCACAACTCATTTGAGTTTCTGAAATTTTCCTGAGCAATCAAAACTGTTTAGTAAATATTTTCTTACTGGGGCTAATAGTAGCTTCCACCTCACTCTTTTCTAAAATAGTTAATAACCTCACTCTTCTTGCAATTCCATTAAACTCTCATTGACTCCATCTCAGAAAACAATATCTTTCAGAGAGACTACTAAAACCACCCAGCCTAAGTCATAGCACACTTCTCCATAGCTTAGGCTAAGTGTACAGACTAACACTCACCTATTGTGTTAATAAATTGCATCCAGGTTCTCTTTCACTCATTTTACTCCACACTAAAGCTAGTCCTCTTAATAGGAAGGACAGTGATAAACAGAGTAGGTGCATGAGCTAGCATGTTGGAGCCCATTCCCTAGGGTAGGATGCCATGCTCAGACTTAATGGATAGGAGAGAGGCTGCGCCCTGATACAACCTATTGTGACAATGTTGACTCCTCATGGGAGCCCTTACCATTGAGGAGGAATGGACTGGGAGTGGGTTGGGAGGAAATGAGGGGAAGTGAGAGGAGGCACGAGGGTAGAAGGAGGGAAGGGAGGAAGAACTTGGGGCTGAAATGTAAATTGAAATAAAAAAATAAAAAAATGGGAAAAAATCACAAGTAATAAAACAACTGACTTTCAAAAAAAAAAAAAAACATAAAAGAAAAAAGAAACAGAGTATGAATCCTAAACTTACTAAGCAACTATTATGTGCAGTATTGTTAGCACACATTGACTCAGTCACAGTCATTAACAAGCAAGCAGTAGGGGAAACTTTAATCATACCCAATGCATTATTGTGAAAGTGATCATTTGATGAAGACTTACATCTTATTAGTTTTTTGAATTTTCTTAACTGCTTCTATGCTGCATTGACCCTTTCTTCACAGTGCAAGTTTCTTCAGGGATAGTACATGGGTTCTTGATTTTGTGAATATGCACATATTTCCACTCTGAGAATTTTCATCATCTATAATCTTTATATAAAATTCTGAGTTTTTTCCAGTATTTTTGATTTACCTGAGTATATCATGGATCTTTGAACACAGAAGAGTTAAAAATGACTTCTGTGACATGTATCCTCATTATCAGAACAATTTAAAATGTTTCTCACTTTTATCAGTAGAAACTGGATAGAAGGGTGATGTGAATGTGGATGTATTCACTTATTTCACACACAGTTTATATAGTTAAATTTTTATTACTAGAACGTTTCATTTTATGATACCAGGGCATCACAACAAGGGTCTTGCATATGACAAATCTTCTTCCGTCAAGTGACATTCAAGCTGAATATTTCATTTTGGATTCAATAACTTCTTATGGTGCTAATGACTACCAAAAATTTTAGAATGGAGATACTGACTAATAAAGAAAATTACTTTTTCTGTACTTTGATGAATAATCAAGGAAATAATTAATCCAGGTTGGAATAGTGAGTGAAATTTAATTTGTGAGTACCCATTAAGAACAGATGTCTGATCACTTAATGCTTTATTATTTTTATGAATTATTTACTTTTTAAATTATATTCACAGCATGAAGTTACATTTATTTAGTCTCTTGTTGAGACTATGTCTCCCATATTTTCTATTACAGGTAGAATTATATGAATGTTGCTTTTCTTATTTTAAAATCTTTGTATTCTTTAAGAATTTCATATATGTATACAATGTACATTGATAATATCTTTTTCTCAGTCCTCTCCCTCCCACCCTCAGGCCATTGCACCCTTAATGTCAACCAGTTTCATGTCCTTGTGTTTTATTTGTATGTTATATCCACTGAGTTTGGTTAGGGCATCCCTTGTGTACACAGGTGTGGAGCCATCCATCTGCTGGAATATGGTAACCATCACTGACTATACCACTGAAGAAAAATGACTCCTCCCTGTCTAACAGCCATCTCAGAAGCTCAGGTAGGGGTGTGGTCTCCTGATCTGCTCCTCCCTTCCTGCTCAAATATTGACTGGTTTGCTCTTGTGCAGCCACAGCTGCTGTTGATTTGTATCTTTAAAGTCCCTGTCATGTCTAGAAGACACTGTTTTATACAAATTTTCCTTAGCCTGTGGCTCTTACAAAACTTCTGCTCCCTCTTCTGCAATATTCCTTGAGCTGTTTGGGAGTGAGGGTAATATAGATGTTTTATTTAGGGCTGAATACCCTACAATCACTTGCTTTCTGCACTTTGACAAATTGTGATTCCATCGCAAAAATAAGCTTCTCTGAAGAGGGTGAGAGTCTATGAGTTTAAGTACAGTTATTGATAAGGTGATTTGATCCAGGTCTTCTCTGAGCAGATGATACCCTGGATTAAATTTCTTTCTTTTAAATCTGTAAAGTTATTGATGCTGTTTTCTTACCTATTTTCAATTTAAGCTAAGATTTGTTCAACATTTTTCCTGAAATCACTCTATTTTAAAGTTATTAATGTTGTGCCCATTCCCCTTACACTCCTCAGGGAAGGTGAGGACTTCCAGGAAGGATCATCAAAATCTGTCAAACTATTTTTATTCTTAACAGAAAACTGTGATGACTGAGGAAGAAAAGAACATCCAAGACTTTGTGGTAAACTTTCCCTACATTCATTTTAACACACTTTTACTCCTATACCCTGCTGAAATCCTATTGACCAAAAGAAACTTCAGGAAAACAGATTTTTGTTGATAGTGAAGTAAGGGGTATTTTGTTTTATTTTTGAGAAAGAGAAAAAGCTGTCTTGGAACTTACTACCCCAAGCCTGAGTGAAACTGTAGTCAATCTTCCTGTTCCAGTTCTCCCTGACCACTCCAGCTCCACTTCCCACACTCAGGTGAGAGTGAACATGATGACTCTGAAAGTTGTCTTCATATCTTGTAAAATGCTGCTGCAGATCTTGCTCCAGATATGGAATCTGTTCCAAACAATACCCAGCTGCAAGCATTCTGTGGCAATTATCAGCTTCACATTGATGTCTCACTTTATAACAATTGAAGGGCTAAAAAAAGATGTTCAGCAGGTAAAGATTCTCATCACCTAGCCTTACAGTTCAACCCCTAGAAAGCTAATGATAGAAAGGAAAGGTAATTCCCACGAGCTGTCTTCTGACTTCAACAGCACATATAGGACACACAAACACAAAAACAAACAAACAAATAAACAGATGAGTGCATTTTGTTAACTGGAACTCATCCTAGAGGAAAATACCACTGGGTTTAATGAGAGCTGTATTCCCTACAATAAACCATGGCTGGATCCACAGAGATGATTCCAAACAAAACATGAGGAGAATCTCTTTTTCGTGTATTGTATGAATGCCCTGTGCAGCATGTTTTTTCTATGTTAACTCATTTACCCTTGCCAGACAGCTAACAGCCAGAAGCAAAGTAGCTTGAATGAGGGGTTTGCTACCACATGTGGGAACACATTGCGCTAAGTCTCTTATCTCAATAAATTAACAATATCTTACTGCTCTTGTGTCTGTTTCACTTTCCCTTTTTTGTTTGCTTGCTTGTTTTCTTCTCTTCAGCATCTTGGCCCTTGGGTCTGAATTGATCATAGGCTCTCTAAACTCCCCAGTTCATCAGTGAATGTGCCCTCTGAGCTACTTTTGTTTAAATAAACAGCCCTCCTTCTAGATCCACACGGTACTGTTAAGAAGATAGCCATATGAGGTTTATATTCCTTCGATTGTGTCCAAGTCGTTTCTGATGAGTCAGATATTGGGATAACCACATGTGTGTTTCTTAGAGCAAAGTGAAACAATGCAGTGAGATCACCTGATCTCAGTTTGTAAAGCTGGTTCATCAATAGAAACAGGCCAACAGAATTATATCACAAAAAAAAAAAAAAAAAAAAAAAAAAAAAAAAAGAATGGTAGCAAGCTGGTCAATAGCATTCCTCCATTGTTTTCCAGTTCAAGTACCTTACCCTCTTGCCTTGGCTTCCCTCAATGACAGACTGTAAAATAAAATATACCATTTCCTTGGGAAAAAAAAAAGAAGAAAACTATGAACCTATGGAGCTGTTACCCACACACCCCCAGCCTGGTGAGTGTGCTACACTTATTTTCAATATGAAGCTTACTTACAATTATAGAAAATGAGGTAAAGAAAGAAAATTTCACCATTATTTCAAATAAAGAAATTGAAAAGAAATGACATTTCACTAAAACAGAAGAATAAACTATAACTCGTATAATAAAGCCAATTTACTTTGTTGAAAATTACATGTACAGAAGTCTTTAACTTAAATGATTACCTGCAGCACTTGAATCGATTCCTGCAGTAATTCTTCTGGGGTCAAAATAGAAAACAGGTTTTCCCATTTTAAAGAATCATCTAAAATCCTATAAGTAGGTTAAATAAACTCTGGTTGACAATTATCTTCCACTTGATAAGAAAAACAAACAAACAAAACAAAACAAAACCTCCACAAAGAAAACACAGTTTCTAACAGGGATAACAGGTTTCTGAAGCCAGAAAACTGGCAATTTAATATTAACATCATGCATGGCATTTCTATCTAAAGATTGGATGTAAACAGCTGACCTCAGCTGTTTTATACCAGTCTTTACATGGTACATATGGAGTTTAAAAAGATAGTTTACTTAGATAAAAGTTTTATACCTGACATTTGTATAGGAGATGTAAAACAAAACAAAAACTAGACTATTGCAAATATTTCCATGGGGATGTAAATATATTTTGTTAATTTCTTTTCATAAATATAGCAATAATGTAGCTTTATATTTTAAAAAGATATTTTTAAGATTCTTGAATTTTATTTTGATAAGTATGACTAAACTTAAATAGTAATTTGAGTCAGATTTTTCTGTAATATATATGCTTAATATTTTAAGTAATGCATATTCAACTTCAATGAAAAACTTAGTTGATAAAATACTATTAGTATTATTTTAAATGCCTAAGACAGTATGAAATAGTTAAAATGCTGCTTCAGAATTTGCTCAAAAGGCATGGTAGCGTGAAGAAGATAAATATTAGCTCTCAATCATTAATTTGCTTTAAGTTATTAAAAAAGTCTCTCTGTACGTTCCATCAAGCATAAATGTAAATAATTCTTAAAATCTTACTGCATTAGGCATCATCTGAGATGCAGGCAAATACAAGTGTTAATTATCAATAATAAAATCACGCAAAACTAAGATGGATGATTTTAATCTGTATCCTATATATAAATAAATATCTTGTGGAAGATAAATCCACCACTTTCTTCTTTTTCTTTTTTTTAAAGCAGGTTTGAGTGGAAAACGCACATCTCCACTTTCTTTTCTATTATGATTACTTCTCAGTACCAGTGTATTGGAACAGATATATAGATGAGACAGAAATACTGAGCTCCTGTGAAGCAGTTCCTGAATGGTTTCTATTCTTGTTAGTCTGAACATGTTGAATATGTTGGGTCTACATTTGGGTTTCATCTCAGCAGGGTTAATTATGATTAAATATGTTTTCAGTACTGTTCCCATATGAAACCATTATTTTACCACATCTCTGCCTCTTTCTGCTTACAGTTTGACATAGCATTAATCCCAAAGCCTCACCAAAGCTCTTCATGTTCCCTCCAATTCCACAGTCACAGCAAAGAAATTAGACACTGAGAACATAATCCCGATAGTGAAATAATCTATAGGAGAAAGATACATACCATTAATGTGGATTAAACTAGTTAAGAGTTTATAAATCTTTTACCTTTGGCTAGTGATAAAGAGTGGGCTAATACTTCAGGATCTCTTGGAACCAAAGCTCAGGAACATAGCATTTTTAAAGGACAAAACACAATTACATAAATATTAAATGAAGGTCAGAGTAGAGTAACCTTCCAACAATATTCTTGGCAGGACAAAGTAGTTATTTCAGACATAACATGATAATCATATTTTACTTGCAATTTCTTAAACTTAATTGTTTTGTTTAATACATCTGGACCACGGTCAGGGTCTTGAAAATCTCAAGTGTGTTGCCAAGGCAGATGTGACTTCTGAGGGTACAGAGGGCTGAGAACTGTGTAAGCAATCACAAAACAGAGTCAGGACAATCTTGTTTTACCTTGGTCATGTCAGCTAGAACATAATCCCTGAATTTGTGGTGTTCTCAAATGACAGAATGGCAGATGTATACAGTCAGTACCTGTGCGAGCTGCAGGGGGCAACCAGGTGGATCAGTACTTCCAGGGAAGACTGAGGGATAGGAAAAGGATTGAGAAGTAGATAAAGGAACAGAAAAGAAGGGTGGGGTTTACTTCAGTTTGGAAATCTGTTTTACATGTACAGTTATAAGGGGATTTAAATGTGTTTCATAGGTAAAACTGCAGGATGTCTTTGATGAAAGACAAGGGTTGAAGTCTGTATCTTTGACACCATGAACTGCCTGTCCTTTACTCCCATAGCATAGTTCAATCTATCATCCTCTTAGCCTAAACTCTTTTCCTATACAGTCTAAAGGTTCAACAGTTTTTCTGAAAAGGGTGGCTTTGACTTGTATTTTGAAAAGGTAGAGCAGCTAGAAGCTACGAGAACTCTTCTTTGTCCTCTTAGAACCTTCCATTCCTTAGCAATCTGATGATGTTACATTCTGACTGCTAAATTCTCTGGTGGCCTCACGTCTCCCAGACTTCATCCTTGATAGCTGAAAATATTACCCTCATAGTTGATACAATTCTTCTGCCTTTCTAGACTGGAGCAACTCCTCCTGGACAATATCTGGCCACTTAAGACTCTGAAATGAATGTTTACTTCTGTTCCTTCTAAGCAGCTGAGTCTCAAAGTAAGTTCATGTTCTAAACTTTGATGGTCGTTTAGGATGTCTCATCAGATTCTTTTCTTGTCAGAATTAAAGTTAGCAGTCTTCCTAGAACAAACTTAACTTTCAAAACTACTTCACTTTCTATTTGGCAACACTGAATCCATGGTATAAAAACACAATTCACATTGATAAAGTTATTTTAAACTTGGTGTAATATGCTGGTAACTTGATTTAAATCAGAAAGTAACTTTGACTCTCCCTTCAAGTTTCTAAGGGCATATGATCATCCTCTACTTAAAATGTAGTAACTCTTCATTTTCTTATTCCCCCAGCTTCCATCCTCTTGAAAGAGTATTGTGTCAGAAGTAACAATGATTTTATTACCTAGAGTTGGCCAGGCCTTACTTTTTAAGGTATCTTATATATTAAAATTACTATTTTGTTAGTAATATAACTACTGGTATTGTAGCTGAATGATGATAAATTTAGATCAGAAGTGAAACATTTCTTGCAGGAGCACCACTATACCTCCTAGTTTTTGTCATGACATACTTTTTAATAATCCTTTTTTATTATATTTTTTATTTAAATTTGCAACAAGCTTGTTATACATGTCAATCCTACTACCCTCAACTTCCCCTCCTCCCCTGTCCCCCTTCTAACGCCCATCCCATTCCCTTTCTGTTCCCCAGGGAGGGTGAAGCCGTCCAGGAGGGATCTTCAAAGTCTGTCATATCATTTGGAGCAGAGCCTAGGCCCTTCCCCATGTGTCTAGGCTGAGAGAGCATCCTCATTCTCTTACATTTTCCTTTGACTATTTCTCTGAGGTATTTTCTGTAGATTTTTATCATCTATACAAGATTAGTATTTTGTAGTGCTTTCATTTCAGGTATATATTTTCTAACTTTTCATGTTTTATATATAGTCTGATTCATTTAATCATTTAAACTTACACTGATGATTTACTAATTAAAAAGCAGTTTCCATTCTATAAATGCGTGTCAAATGTGCTGCCAGTTCTCTTAAATACAGTCAATTATTTCCTGAATATCTTCCTGCATTCTCTGCTTTCACAGAAAATTATATGATTGTAATGTAAAAATTAAGGAATAAGCATGAATCCTCTGAAGTCTCCATTACTTAAGACATTATGTAGTATTGAGCTTATTTCATATATTTTGGAACCAATATTTTGCTATAACAGGCCAAACTGTAACAAAGCAACCAATCATGTCTCCTTTTGCCATTTTAAGTAAGCTTTGAGGATTTTCAGAGTTCAGATTAGATATGACCTCCATGACATAGTTAGGTTGAAATGATTGTTCCCTACTTGTTTTTCCTTCATTTGGGGACACCACTGGAGATTTAGGAAACACTGAAACAATAAGCACATTACAAAAGCTCAGCCATGTGCTTCTCTTCATAAAATGGGATACCTTTTCATTTCCCTTGTAAATTAGACCTTCTGACACTTTCAAAATTTAGCATTGTGCATTACAAGGAATGACATTTCTATGACTACAAAATAATAGGATATTTTCTGGTCCATCAATCTTCTAAAATCCAGTGTTTGTGGAAGATGAGATCATGCCTAATGAAAGGACTGAGTACCTATGCTTACACATTCTTTTACATCGTTGAATCTCATGACAACAGGCTGGGTATAACACAATTTTTAACATTCTATTTTGAAATAATAGAAACTAAGTTTAAATATAGCTTTCCAACATCTTTATTGATAAGTGATGCTTTGGAGCACTGAATGTCAAGTACCCTCACATGACTTTTTTCCCTAGATTCCTGTTATATACATTATTATATTACTCATATAAATCTCCAGGACTTATAGTAGTGCTGGATAATCATTAAATGGATAAAGAAAGGAAAAGGTAGAGGGAGAGAAGAGAGGAGAGGATGAAAAGGAAAGTTGGAGGAAGAAAACAAAAAGAATATGACAAAATATGAAAGGGAAAGGACCAAAATTATGATATTTAAAAATGATTGAGTGGTTGCTAAATATTATGGGAAAGGAAAGAAGCTGATTATCAAGGACCCACTCAAGGGATGTTTTAGGGTGATGGAATTTTTATATATAGTAGTGGGCCTATAAGTAATAGTCAAAACAGAGTATTTAACCATTAACAGTGATTATTACTGATTGCAAATAGAAAAAGTGAAATCTAAGATAAAAATAAATCTAACATAATAAAAGATGCATAGTATGGCCTCCCTGAAATGAGGAGGAGAATTACTAACTAAAGGTTATCTTTAGCATTAAGACAAAAAAAAAAGACCCCCCCCAAAACAAAACAATAAAAACGTATTTACGATCAGTCAGCGTTTTTGAACTGAAAATTATTTAAAACACGATGGTGGTCAGGGAGACTGCTAAAACACTGTAGGTTACCCTAGAACTAGTAATAAGAACTTTTTGTTGATACCACACACCTCAGAAGCACAAGACAGAGGGAGTGAGCTGGAAAATTTTGGAGGAAGCTTCTTCCCTCCAGGGCAGTTTCCATGGTCCCAGAAAATTCTGTTCAGACAGCTGGGGAGAAAGGCCATTGATGGCCTGTGTATCTTGTGTGCCCTCTTTATCTATGGTGCCACTACTGATATGGGGAGACCCACCCCTCAAAGAGGGAGAACATAAGTTCATCAGGCATGAGTGTAGGGCTTTATTCTCTTGTTTATTTAAATTGACATAGTGTGTAACTACCTTCTAAATATATATATATATATATATATATATATATATATATATATATATAGTCATAAACAATTGCTAGTGTAGGTCTTAATCAAAGAAATCCCCTTTTCTCCAAGAACAAAGGTGTCCACAATAATTCATGACTGAACAAGGTGCAGAGAATGTGTGACACATGACTATTCAACCATAAACAACCACCAGCAGTGAAGCTCAAGGGACATTGCAGAAGAGGGGGCAGAAAGAATGTAAGAGCTAGAAAATAAAAACTGAGAAATAAGATCTGAGCAAGGGAGAAGCTTCCCTTTATGGTCCAGAGGGGAGCTTCATTAAGAGTTAGACTAATATGTAAAATAAGAAAAAATAATAAATATAAAAATCAAATACAGACTTCTGGGATGAGAATGTAGCTCCATGGTATATATGAAGCCTCATGATCAATTCTCAATACTGTAAAAGAAAAAGAATATTAAAAAGCAGACACAATTGCATATGCCCCTCCCCCCCCAAAAAAAAAACATAAAATAAAAAAGAAGAGTTTGACTAAGGACTCTGGACCAACAGCTGTGAAGCCTCCCTGGGACCAAACTAGGCTCTCTGTATATCAGAGAGAGTTGTAGAGCTTGGGCTATCTGAATGGGGCCCAGTACTAGGCCCAGGATTTATCCTTAGTGCATGAGCTAGCTTGTCCAAGCCCCTTCCCTATGGTGGAATGTCATGCTCAGCCTTAACTCAGGGTCCAGGAGGAAGGGGGGAGTCAATGGTCGATGGACTGGGTGGGGGGAGGCAGGAGGAGGGGTGTGTGGGAGGGAGAACTTTGGAATGTAAAATGTAATTTAAAATACTTAATAAAAAAGGGTCAGACTAAGGGAGGGAGGGAGACCATAAATAAATAAGTAAATAAATAAATAACCTCCATACAGGGACTGAGAACATAGAGGGGTCTCTTCAGCCTTCAGCCTTCACAGCAACTAACCCAGCAACCCAGAAAATTCCCCTGGGGAATCTCAAAGCAATCAGTAGGACAAAGGAACCTGAAGCCTCCCATCTTGATTAAATTTGGCATAGCATACATGACAAGAAGCATGGAGGAGGAAGGTACCTAGACTGGGAGCTGTCAAGTCACAGCAGGGACAGCTTCTAACTCCCAGAGAGAATAGCAAGGGAGTAGTGGACCTCATAAGCTGTGGATTTCACCTAAAAGTTCCAGGTTTCAGCTTTAATACCTGACTCTTAGAATTATAATTATATTTAAGAAATTTTCTTCTTTGGTCCTTGCCCTGAATTCTTTCATTTCTCTTTTCTTCTTGTTTACATGAATTCTAACCAGCTGCCTGTGATTAAATCTTTGTTTTCTGTCCTCTCTCTCTCTCTCTCTCTCTCTCTCTCTCTCTCTCTCTCTCTCTCTCTCTCTCTCTGTGTGTGTGTGTGTGTGTGTGTGTGTGTGTGTGTGTGTGTGTGTGTGTTTGCAGTTCTCTGTACTGTGCATTACTACTTTCAGTGTCTGTCGTTTAGTTTTGGAAGACTCATGACCATTGTTAATTTTTTTTAACTATTCTGTCTTGTTTTCTCTTTGATTTTCCTGTGATTACAACTACTAACGTGTTAAGACATTTCATTGTTTAGGTTGAGTTTCATGTTGGTAATTAATTAGGTTTTCTGATGTTGTCCTGGGATGTTTTGCATCAACTATTTAAAAACATTCCATTTCTCCATTAGTAATCTTTGATTCCTGGCATTTACATTTTGTCCTTTCAAATAGCTTTTATCTCTTTGCCAAAATTTCCTCTGTAATCTTTCATTTTTTCTTCCATTTCCATCAAAATCTTCAAGCCATTAAATTTATGTTAAGTGCTGGATTTGAGAGTTCCAAACTATTAACACTTCATATTTTCACATTCTTTCCATGTTCTGGACACTCTGGGTCCAAGCTGTACTTAGACATTGGCATAAACTCCAGAAGATAGTTTTTAATCTGTTTGGAATTTTCATAGTCTTGTGACTAACTGAACAACAGGATTAAGCAAAATCTATGTTTAACAATCACTTAGAAAATAAACAGGAAAATAGCTCCAAATCTATATTATTTGAACAAGATAGATTTATCTTGTTTAGGGGATATTCTAAAGAACTAAAACACAAGTCCTAAGTATGGATATTGAAAGGTCATGAGACAAAACACTGCCAGAAAGGTGTTTTTTTAATTTAATAAACCTTAAATTACTTCAATTGTCAGTGGATCCCATCATTTTAATTCTATATTGTTAATTATCTATTATTAATTAGTTATTCTGACAGGAATAAATATTTCAGTCTATCTTTAATGAAGAACAAGTGCTCACTAGGTCATTATTAAGAATTTATCATTCATTTGAGTTCCATTAAATGTTTCCTTATTGAGACATTGCACTGGCTATACTTTTAGCTTGGAGACACTGTATAGACTCAGGATGATAGGTTTCCAAAAGAGCCTCAGCCATAAAATAGGCTTGTGAAAATGTGGCAACTGCCAATACAATCTTAGATCAGAAATTCAGTTAGAGATAAAGGCAGTGATTTTAGAGTGATCACCATGTAACCTAAATTTATACAGCCAATCATTAAGTCATTCTAATTAATATGATTTTATACTACAACTGCAAGATAAAATATGAACATGTTAAGATGCACCTTGAGGAAATTTTGACATAATTTTATAATTTTAGGAAGATCCCCTTAAATTACCTAACACTACTTTTTCTGTTTGGTTACAGTATCACAGGGGGTTTTAGTGGTTAACAAAGGTAGGCATGATTATTCTGGGAAGGGATGAAAATAGGGTGGGAGAAAATAAGATAAATTGAGAAATGTAGGGCATCATCTCAAAATGAGGTCCCACCTACCCTATAGAACTCTGAATAGGGGCACAGTGAATTCTGAAATTGCCAGTGAAAATCTAGAGCAATATATATATATATATATTTTTTTTCTAAGACATTAAAATAATGGAACCACTAACTCAAGAAATGCCTCTGGGGATTCTCTCAGAATTCTCTAATACTACTTCTATGTAAACAGAATAACACAATTGCTTACCATACATTACAATTTTTAGAGAGCATTATATTTATTATTTTTATGTCAAAATAAAAACCTGGTATACCACCCAAAGATCACAAGAGAAGTTGTGCAACATGTGGCCCAAAATGACCTGAACAGTTAAGCAGCTGAGCAAGAGTTAGAAAAAGCAAGGTGTGGATACTGTGTATTTCTCCCACACCTTTTTCTGTAAACATAGTATTACAAATTATTCTTTTTTAAAGATTTAGCAGCAACCATACATGGTCTTATCTAACAAACTTGGAATTTTCTCATATTATTAGATTGTACATAGCATAAAATTAGTGCATATATATACATATATATCACAAAATTATAGATTATAGAAAATAAATAAAATTATGGAAATAATTATAAAAAGTTAATATATAACTATAAACAGTTTTTAACATACCTCAGATATAGTGGTCATTTAAATATTCATTTCAAATAGTTCAAGTATTTAATATTGTGTTCTTGATAAAACACATCAGGTTGGACACTTTTATTTTTCACATTTGAGAACTCAGGATAATGTTGCAATATTATCTCTGTATGGATATATTTTGTAAGAATGGAGATGCTTTATGTTTTTGAAGGGAAAAGCTATAAATTTTAACAATAAAGCAACTAGCGATGTGTTGTTGTGCTCATAAAACAAAGCCAAGACATATATATGTATGTATATACATACATACATACACATATATATATATGTACTCCTTCATTCTTAGGTGACATAAAATTTTAGGTAATTAGAGGTCTAATATGCCAGTGGCAAAAAAAAAATGGAAGTGGGAAATTTTTCAGGTATATGATAGAAGTCTCCCATTGAATCTTAATAAGGCATCCACAATGTGACTACTTAAAACAATTTCATTTCCTGATAGGTCCTCCAAAAGAGATTAATTGCAAAAGATGTCCTTGAGTTAGAGTGAATTTACTTCCATATAAAGAGAATGTAGTTAGAAATTGACTAATTGCTGGAAAAGAGAAAAACAAGTGAATGAGCTCTAGTGCCATCCCGATTAAGCCATGCTACCAGTAGTTAATAGCAGAGCAAGCTTTCTGTTGAGTGACTTTCTTGTCACACTAGTAAACCCACATGACACCTGTTTCTCTCCGAATTAATTTAAAAGATACGGTGTACTTTCTATAAAACAAATTCTACTATTCACATTCACAGGGTCTATCAAAATGAAGTTACTTCTTTGGGCCTGCGTCATGTGTGTCGCTTTTGCAAAGAGGGTAAGTAACCGAACTTTCAGGATCTGTAGCATTGGTTCTAAATATCAGCTAGGGGTTGGCGAGAAGTCACACGAGTGAAGTAAGTACCCCATTTGTACAAGTCAGCAGAGAAACACGCTGTGGGCATAAATTTGGCTTTGTCAAAATTTTGCAAGGAAATCTCTGAAATCAAAACAATATTGTTCTCAACCATGAAACAGATCAGCAGCTTGTAGAAGAGGTTAGCTCAGAAACAGGAAGCAGGGAGAAGAAGTTTCATAGAGACTTGGGATCCTAAATAGATAACCTCAGCAGGGTTTCTCCATCAGTGAAATCCCACTGTTGAGATAGCTACAAGATATGAAATAGTGAATCAAGGGATACTCAGTGAGACAGAAGTAAATAAACATGAGTTCAGTGTGAGTCAATGAGGCTTTAGTTAATATATTTTTTTTTCACACAGATTCCACTATGCAGTCCTGGGTTGACTGCAACTCCCTATGGAGACCAAGCTAGCCTCAAACTGAGGGATTTTCCTGTCTTTGCCTTGTTGATGCTGGGACTAAGGGTGTGCGTTCTCAATACGTGGCCTGAAAGCAATTTTAATACTAGTAAATGAGTGTGTTAAAATTCCACAATATTATTATGTCCTTTACATGTATCTAAGTTAATTCCTAATTCTTAAAATAACATGTTGAGTTTCCTAAATTAGTTTTTATTCTGTGGTGAATTCATAAGACAATGAAGTTTCATTAAGAAAACAATGTATAGATCTACAAAATGTGGCAATATACCTGCCCACTCACCCCCCCCACACACACACACACAATGCACAGCAACACCTGGATGCTTAAAGAGACAAATAAAAACAACACATATAGATACCAAATGACCTTTCATATGGCAAATATTTCCCTGAATACACAATGTTGCAAGCTAAATTCTATTAATCCAAAATAACACTTGGCTGTCCCAAATATCATAATGATTATGATGGCAAAGCTACTCAATTCAGACCAGTGACTCATATTAAGAAAAATTGTTTTAAGAGTATGCAAATTCTCCAGTAAAGGAAAGTTTGAATGCAGATGTTCTTAATTAAATTATCACATTAAAATACTTTTCTTTGTTTTAGCGGCGTTATCCCTTCATTCATAAGGTAAAAACTTTAATTTCTATAAAAATATATCTGTTTTAGCCATAAGATGTATTTGCATTTAAAGACTATTTTTCTTGGCAACACAATTGACTTTGATTGCTATGAAAATATTTGTTTTATTAATTCCTTCATGTTAGGCAACAAAAGTTTATAGTATATAAGTATACTTGTGATAGACATATTTACCAGCAACCCTTCCTTTCCAATGATCAGAAGCATAAAGTGCACTCCTCTTACGGTATAGTACAAGTTTTATTATATCCTGTTTTAACTTCATAACTCTCTAATATTTAATTTGTACTCAAGTAATGTAACTGATGAGATAATGTTGACATAAGGTATTTGAACAGAAAACATGAGGTGCTGAGCAACTACATACTCAATTATGCATTTTGTTTGCATACAGGCTGTTTTTTCTTTGAAAGAAGGGAGGTTGAGAGAAGGTCTCATGTAGCCCAGGATGGCCTCAATCTCTCCATTATGTTTAATTTTGATTCTTCTGCTTTTACCTCCCATGTGTTGGGATTATAGATAGCTACCATCATGCCTGAATGAATTTCATCTAGATCTTGGAAGCTAAAAGTAGTATGTGAACATAACCCAAAGACTTGTGTGATTTCTGTACAGTAAATAGCCATGAATTATTCCATGTAGGAGACAAATATATTACCAATATTTCATTTTCATCAGTTCTTTGTAATATTTGCCTTGAATTCTGATGGCAAATGTGTGATCATAAAGTTACAAGTGTTCTTACCCATAAGTGTGTTACATATGGATAGGAATACACTTTCCTATCCTAGTAAAGTAAAACCAAAATAATGTAAATGTTTTTGAATAACAATTAAACTTACAGAAAATCAGTTCAAAACTGAAAGAGTATTATATGTTATTTTTAAGTTAACAATCATCAGATTCTGTAGTGCATTGACTTTTGCCTCAGTGCCTGTTAAATGATGTTTTTTCTTTGCATATCTCATACCTTAGGGAATATGAAAAAAATGATCTACTGAAAGACTTTAAGATTAGTAACACTAGAAGCAATATTAAATTTTAAATGGAAAGTTTGGATGACTGCAGGTATAATAATCCAGGCATCTGAAAAAGAAATCTGGCTGCATTTTCTAATAGCTAGGAACCCAATGCCTACAACCATTGTACCACAAAGCAAGCACTCTGTGTGTGTGTGTGTGTGTGTGTGTGTGTGTGTGTGTGTGTGTGTATGTATGTGTGTATATGTGTGCATATATGTGTGCATACATATAAAGGAATAATATTACTCAGGCAAAATCTTAGAATACTTCAAAGTCCCTGAAAAAAATGTACATTTACTGAGAAGCTATACTGAAAGCCTCATTTCATAGCTAAGGATTTGTAGTAAGCACAAATGAGGATATAATGTGGCCATCTGTTGTAAACAAGGAACTAGATATAAAAATGAATAAAAAGTTTTGGCTATGGTACTTGATTGTGAATATGAAATTTAAGTGGCAGAATAGAAACACTGGAAACTGGGTAGGTAGAGTATTGAACATCCATGATTTTCTCATGTGTTCATAGAGGGCTGTGCATGTGTATGATGGTATGTGTATACACAAGTTGAAGTTGGTGTCTTACTCAGTTGCTCTCTACCTTCTATTTCAAGTCAATGTTCTTCTCTTACTCATTCAGTGATTAGGCAAGGCTGATTGGCCAACAACTATGGATATCCTCCTACCTTCATGTCCCACTCTGCCCACACCCCAAACTGAGGTTAGAGGTGCAGACCTCTGTGTCTGGATTTTATAAAAAATAATTCCACATATGTAATTTTTTATTTTGTATTAGTTCTTTTACAATTTCAAGTTTCATGGAATGTTTTAGTCATATTTACTCCCCTTTGCCCCAACTCTGTGTGGCTTTTTTGTGTTAGAGATAAAAGGCAATTTGCAGACTGAGACATCTCCCCAGCCCTGAATGTCATATCATTCTTGAAGTTTTATTTATTGATATAACATTTTTTTGTTACTTTTGAAGTTTTCATACAATATTATCTATTGATCACACTCTTTCTCCTCTCCCAAGTCCTCCCAGATTCTCCCCACCTCTCTACCCACCCAACTTCATATTCTTTCTCTCTCTCAAATCCCCCTCAAAAACCAAAAAGACAGGAAAACAAAACAAGAAAAGAACATGAAGACAAAAAACACCAAGCAATAACAAAAGAAAAGAACACACAAAAAAACATGTCTGTTTGGTGTTGATACACTACTCCTGAGCATGAGGCCTGCCCTGGAGTGTCACCTCATCAGAGAAAGCCAATTTTTCCTGCTAGCAGCAGGTATCAATTGCAAATAGCTTCTTGGTTACAAGTGGGACTCCATACCCACTTCTTCTTCTCTGCGTTGGGAATGTCTGGTTTGAATTTGTGGAGGTTTTCTGCACGATGTCACAGTCTCTGTGAGTTCATATGTGGATCAATCTTGTATCTCAAAGATGCTGTTTCCTTGGAGCCATTCACCACCTCTTGCTCTTACCATCTTTCTGCCTCCTCACCTTTAACGATCCCTGTGCCTTTAATCGAGGAGTCTGATAAAGACATTTATTTTAAGGCTAAGTGCTCTGAGGTTTCTCACTGTCTGTAAGTTGTTCAGTTGTGGGGCTCCGTGTTAATTGCCATCTACTGCCAAAAGAAGCTTCTTGGGTGATGACTGAGCAATGTGCTGATCTATGGGTATAGCAGTATGTCATTAAAAGTCATTTTATCACTATGTCCATTTAGCAGAATAGTAGTAGTGGATCCTCATCCCACCCCAACCCACCTAAAACTCATTGCCTCATTGATTCTCATGTTTTTAGCTCACTAAATCTGTCATGCATTACAACACATGTAAAGAATGTTTACTGAAAGTCAGGCATTGTGATACATGGCTATGATTTCAGAACACAAGAGAACAAACTAGGAGGACTGTCATACTTTGAGATCAGCATGGGTATATGCCAATTACCAGGCCCAAGACCAAGATACTGTCTCAAAATAATAATAATAATAATAATAATAATAATAATAATAATAATGATAATATACATAGTTATAGGAAAATTAAAAATAGAACAACCATCCATAGTTCTTAAAAAAGAAAATTCCAAAAACTTCACTACTCACAACCCCTCCAATTGTAAGCAGGGTTTTGAAGTGTGTTACTCTTTCAATGGCATCATGTTTAAAACAAATCTCTTCTTTGTTTCAGAAATCACCCTCACCCAGTGAAGAGGTAAATTTTATTCACATCTATCTATAATTAAATATACTATTATGTAGCTTATACTATTTTTCTTTGATATCATTTTCAATCAAATAATGTTAAATAATTCGTTTTATTATGTTTTTCCTTGAAGGACTAGGAGGTTCATTTAGGAAAATGTTCACCTTTCCTCTCATGGCCCACTTATTTATGCATATGTATTCATACTCATGCTTATCTATCATAAAACTTCATCCACACTGGTACCCTGTTTATTATCATGCTTGCTTGTTAGGTTCAGTGGGTTCAAATGAACAATAATATTATAAAGGTTGACATTATAGAAAGTATAGTTGAGAAGGAAGGCAGGACTTTTGAAAAATGTGAGAACTGAATCTATTTTTTAGGACTCGACTTGGACAGAATCTAAATAAAACAACTCTGGGCATGAAATAGCTATGTGCAGTTTGTCAAAATGCTTTGAATTATAATCAAGCTATATCCATAAAACATACCAAAATTCTGAGATCCTTATTTATAAACCAGGGGTGGTCTGCTTATGAAAATATTTATGATATGGTATAAGATATTATGTATGCATGAGTAAAGAACATTCCTATTTTCTGTGAATTCTCATATAGTTCTGTGACCTGAGCTTTCTGACAATCTTCTAGAATGGGACAGACAAGTCTAGAATAGTCAGAGGAATATGTGGAGGTCTTACCACAAGAAAGAATTTGAAAACTGTATAAAAATTCATAATCAATGTTACTAAAATGCTCGTTTAGAACAGAAATAGTACTCGGAAATTATATATAAAAAGTCAAGTTCCTCTTCCATATTTTTCTGCCCACTTATCTGATAACAAATTCTTGGAGGAACTGAAGTTTCGATAAAACAGGATAAATCCAGGACACAGATCACAAACAGTCTTAAACCTGGAAGAGGAACATGGGAATGAGGGCCTCATGTGGGGAAATTTAGAGACAAGGAGGATGCCAAGTGCAGCAGGCATGGAGAAAGAACATGGTGTATAGAAGCCTGGAAGAACCAGTTCTCTTATCCTATGTCAGCCTTCTAAAATGCACTCATGCATACCTCTTCTACATCCATCCTAGCCTAGACAGTGTATTCTGAAGAACGCAACACTCATTTGCCTATATGCAAAGTAATTCTCCTACAGTTTGGATTTACTTAATTTTCACAAACTATTTTCATTTCTATTATTATGGATGCATATTAGTTATTAAGAAGGACTAAATGGGTGTTCTCTTAAAAATATTACTAATATATTACCACAAAGAGTCATAACAGAAATAGGAGTAGAAACAATCAGCTACAATGAACTCCTTTCTTTCTGTCTAGGATTACTATGGACATCGCTACCCACTTAATCCGTCTCTCAATATCCCATACGGTTTATGGAATGATAATTTGCCACCTTTTCTTTTGCCTCCTCTTGACGCTCACCAAGGAAATACCATCACTAAATTCCCTGGAAATCCGGAGCTTGACAGAGGGCTATCTCCATACCCTTGGATTCTTACTCCTTCTAAAGTTCACTATGTGTACCAAAACCCCAATTTTCCCTCGGATGTTTCAATGAGTGGTCCCGCAGCCACTGTGTCTCTTCCTCCTCCCCCACCGCCTCCTCCCAGGCCATATCCCTTTGTCATACCTCCGAAGATTTCTGTTTCACCCGTTGCAGCTGAGCCTGCCCCAGGCCCACCAGCACCTGCTGTAGGAGAGGGTCTGGTACCTGAGTTCCCTTTAGACAAAGCTATTTCAGGCCTGCCTACTGCAGTCAAAGTTGGACCACCACCACCGGCTGAACCCAAATCTCCCCCAGCTGAGCCTGCTCTAGGACAGTTTGGTTCACCTGAATCTGCTCCAGCCCAGTTTGGTGTGCCTGAACCTATTCCTGCCCAGTCTGGGGTAGCTGAGCCTGCTGCAGCCCACCCCATGGTACCTGAACCAGCTGCACCTCAAGGTATGGCTGTAGCCCCGGCTATACCAGCTGAATCCCCTGCAGGCCAGCCTGGTGAAAACAAACCTGCTTCAGGTGAGCCTGCTCTACCCCAGTCTATGGCAATTGAGCCTGTTTCAGGCCAGGCTGCTGAAATCAAGCCTCCTGCAGCTGAGCCTGCTGTAGTCCAACCTCCTCCAGCTGAACCTTTGGCAAACCAGCCTCTTGTGGGAAAACTTATTATCACAGCTGAGCCTACTGAAGCAAAACCTGAGGTTGCTGAGCCTGTTGAGGCCAAACCTGGTAACCAAGAACCACAACCTTTTCCTTTTTACCAGGTAAGTTACCTACTTTACTACTGAGTGCTTGGGACTTATAGAAGGGAAGACACACAACTTTTGTACAAGAAAAACAACCGCTTCAGGATTAAGAGCTGTTGTTTTAGCAGACAGTCGAAAAATAAATGGCAGGCATTGAAAGTGTATAGAGAATTTCTATATACCCATCAAACTATTTTCAGGATTTGAGTATTTGAATAGATCTACTAGAACCCCAATGTCTTGTGTTCCCTCTCACATCATCTCATATCTCACATCTTTGATAAACTTCCTGTTAGATAAAAAGAATGAGTCGGGGCTAGAGAGATAGCTCAGTGGTTGACAGCACTTATTCTTGCAGAGGTCCCAGGTTCAATTCCCAGCAGTCACAAGCAGGCTGAAATCCATCCATAACTCTAATTCCAGGGAATCCAGCACCCTCTTGTGGCCTCCACATGCCCCAGGCACACATGTGCGCTCTCTCTCTCTCTCTCTCTCTCTCTCTCTCTCTCTCTCTCTCTCTCTCTCTCTCTCTCTCTCTGTGTGTGTTATGCATATATACAATACAGGCAAACATAATGAAATTTTAAGCTGATTTGCTGAACAAATTTACCTTGTCATTCATGCACACAGGCGAGCACAAACAATCAACATTAACCTACAATGTGTATCCCTGGAACTCTTTGAAAGCAATATCATAAAACAGTTACTGGTTTACTTTTTCTCTTTCCTGTGAAGGAAAACTTTACAGCATGAAGTTGAAATCATTGAAAAAAATAAAAACCTCTTCCTCATAATTATTTTGGTTTTCAAGCAGGGTCTCATTATGTAACTGAGACTAGCTTAGAACTCAGAGGGATCTTCATGCCTCTGCCTCCTTAATGCTAGAACTATAGGTGTGCACCATCACACCCAGTACCCTTTTCATAATTCTAAACACATATTTTGTTTCAGACAAGAGATGAAATACATTTTCTGATACTCATCTTGTCTGGAAGCAGATTTCTCTAGGCCTTTTAGAGAGCATCTCAGTATAGCTCTATTATTTAGGTAAGAAAGACCTGGTGCTACCAAAAGAAATACATTTTAATCATAAATGAATATCCTTTTTCATTTTAGGTAGAGAAGTAAGATTTTTCTGGAGAACAGAGAGTTATTCATTTGTTTCTGTAAGTCATGCAATATAATGAGATGTGGATACTGTCGATTATACTATATCTCCTCTGCTGAAACTATATCTGGATATATATGAAAGATGAAAGTGGGAAAGTGGGGTGTGGTTGGTGGTTATGTTTCCTAGAAGTTAAGACATGATGAATTTATGGCCTGGGTAAGATTTTCAGGCTATTTTTGGAATAGGAAGTTCTCTAAACTGATCCAAATTGATTATGACCTGACTATCCTGTATATCCTGTATAATAATCATCAATTTAGGAACAAGCTTCGATAAATGGGAAGGAGACTAAATTATAAAGCAGTGCTGGCCATTAAGGACCAGTGGGCCATTTTGTATGCTGTCTTCCAGCTTCCATTCTTACCCAGTTTCAACCTCTCTATCTCACCTCAATCACTTCCTAAGAATAAAGGCCCTGACCAAATTGCTCAGTTGCACATCCCCCCTTCCTAGTTAATAAAAAAATACACAAAATAAATAAAATGATTAAAATATTTCCAAGCACAAGTTCATTTTTCATATTCCCAAACTACTACAAGGTTTTGGTTATAAATGTTTACTGGACAAAGAAATGGTGAGATATTATTTTGATTGTCAGTCATATCAAAATTCTAAAAACTGAGGTGGTATGAGTCCCTAAAGTATATTGAAAATCAAATGTGATGACAAATAGTAACATTAGTGATGCACCCTAACTATAGTCATTTCCAAGGATATTAAACATTTTCAGTTTTTACTTAAACCTTGATCACTGCTAAATTGTTTGACACTTATACTAATGTTTAAAAGGAGAGACCTATTAGTGAACAATACCAACTATTAGATAATTTAACAATTTTACATTTTCACAGGCATGTGTTTCAAGTTTATTACACATAAGATACTCAATGAGAAATAAGTAAAGGGAAAAATGCTGCCTTTCTGGAAAGTCTATTAAAATGGAGAAAGAATTCTTTAAATTATTCAATATCAAGAGAAAATGTTGATCTAAATCAATAGCTACACAGGCCCATGATTTTTGATACCTGTATATGCATTCAAATAAACTGTAATATTGCACTAATTAAACTGTTATAAGTATGCCTCTTTTACTTCCTACAAGAATATATAATTGTAAGAATGCTGTGTTTGTAAGAAATTTGACAAATTGTTATACAAAACTGATGTTATTGTATTTTTTCTGCAGATGCTGATGAACAAATTAAAGAAACCCAAATGTTCTTTCTTTTCCCAACAAATAGTTTACTATGTTTTATTAAAACTATCAGTCTCTCCATATTGATTGGCTCTGCTAGATTTCTTTAGATCTTAAAATAAAATTGATGGAATGCCTTATTTTTGGTTCAAATTATAAAATATATACTTTATAGGTATGGCTAAAGAAATTTAAACAAATTTTAAAATGTGGTAATAGGAAGTACCTTCTTTGAAACAGTCTTCTAGATTAATACTAAATTACAGTGCATTATGAGTGCCAAGAGCCATTCCACGTTCCTTAAAAACATTATACCCTAATAGTAATCATACAAATAGATACTGTTCTATTTCAAAGACAATAACTTTCCAACATTTAAATTGCTAGGAAGTATTTGCAACACGTTGAAAAAGCATACTAAAAAGTTATGGACTTTGTTACTGGAAAGGTAAGGTAGTAAACTATTGTGCCACTGAATGGTGATTTGAATAGTTTCTTTTGACTGTTCCAACAAATTGCCATAGAGTGCACAGTGTGAAACAAAAGAAATCTATTTTCTCGTGATATGAAGGTCAGAAGTTTGAAATTAATTTTCCTAAGTTAAGTGTGTTGGCAATATGTACCCCAGATGGCTCTAAGGAAGTTTCTTCTAGTATCTGCCTCAGGCTGTCATTTTTGACTCCTATTTACCTTAGGTTCTTTGATATGCAGTTACATGAATCCAGTGGAATAAAAGGGAGGCTGAGAAATACTAGGTTAGTGAATAAACAGCAAGTTTCAGCATGTCTTACACTACTAGTTAAAATTTACCAACTTTAGTCTTCCTCCCACAAATATAACACGGTCACTTTCTTGCCATATCAGAAAAGCATTCAAGGTCCACACCCTTAGCTGCATCAAAATGGGACTTTTCCTGCTCCTGAACATTGAACAAAAAAGACAAGTTACCTGTACCCTAAATGATAGACCCATGATAAGCCTGAGGCAGGATAACTAAAATATTTCCTTTCCCTTTCTCTGGGGGACCGTGTATGTCCCACTTAGGGTCCTCCTTGTTTCCTAGCTTTTCTGGAAGTGTGAAATGTAGGCTGGTAATCCTTTGCTCTATGTCTAAAATCCATATATGAGTAAGTACATACTATGTTTGTCTTTTTGTTACCTCACTCAGGATGGTTCCTTCTAGTACCATCCATTTCCCTGTGAATTTCAAGACTCCATTGTTTTTTTCTCCCCTGCTGAGTAGTACTCCATTGTTTAAAAGTGCCACATCTTCTTTATGCATTCTTCAGTTGAGGGGCATCTAGGTTGCTTCCAGGTTCTTGCTATTACAAATAATGCTGCTATGAACATAGTTGAAAAAGATGTCCTTGTTGTATGAATGTGCATCTTTTAGATCTCTACCTAAGAGTGGAATTACTGGATCTTGAGGTAGATTGATTCCCATTTTCCTGAGGAACCACCATACTGATTTTCCAAAGTGGCTGTGCAAGTTTGCACTCCCACCAGCAGTGGAGGAGTGTACCTCCTTCCAGCATAAACCTATCCAGAATAAACCGTCTTTGGTGTTTTTAATTTTAACTATTCCCAAGATCTCTCAAGCAAATTGGGAGCATGGGAGAAGGGACAGGGAGTTAGGAGGAAGAGGAGGGGTGAGATGGGCATGAGGAAGCAGAAAGATTGAGTCAGGGAAAGAATAGAAGAGAGCAAGAAAAGAGATACCATAATAGAGGGAGCCATTATAGGTTTAAAGAGAAATCTGGCAATAGAGAAATATCCAGAGGTCTACAAGAATGACCCCAACTAACAATGTAAGCAATAGTGGAGATGCTACCTTAAATGTCCTTCCCCAATAATGAGATTGATGGGATTGATGGCTACCTTATATGCCATCTTAGAGCCTTCATCCAGTAGCTGATGGAAGCAGAAGCAGACACCCACAGGTAAACAATGAACAAAACTCCAGGAGTCCAGTTGCAGAGAGGGAGGAGTGATGAGCAAAGAGGTCAAGACCAAGCTGGAGAAAGCCACAGCAACAACTGACCTGAACAAGGGAGAGCTCATGGCCCCCAGTCTGATAGCTAGGAAAGAGCATAGCACCGACCCAGAACCCCTGAATGTGGGTGTTAGTTAGGAGGACTAGGCAGTCTACAGGGCCTCTGATAGTGGATCAGTATCTATCCCTAGTATAATAATGGACTTTGGGAGCCCATTCCACATAGAGGTGTCTCAACCTAGACACTGGGGGGAGAGCCTAGGCCCTGCTCCAAATGATATGACAGACTTTGAAGACTCCCCATGGAAGGCCTCACCCTCCCTGGGGAGCAGAAACAGAATGGGATGGAGATTGGTGGTGGGGACAGGGGAGGATGGGAGGGTATAGGAACTTGGATTGACATGTAAAACAATCTTGTTTCAAATTTAAATTAAAAAAAAGTTTTTAAATTCCTAATTAAAATATTACCATCACTGCAGCATTCCAAATAGAAATGGGAAAGCCAAGGTAGAGAAATGTACATGAATGTAGGATCACCTGGTACTCTTTTTCAGGCGGTCTGGCTTGATCAGTACGACACCCAAGTTCCCAAATATTGTCTATAAATGTTTGTTTTCATTTAAATGGACTTGATTATATAAAATAAATAAATAAAATAAAAAAGAAATGTACATGATTTTCTCCTCTGAAAATGTGTTGTTGCCATATTTTTCTCCAATAATACTACAAATGGGTTTCCCATCCTTAAACTATCAAAGTCTATCTCCTACTTGAAAGGCTAGAGCCCCAGGATTTATTTTGCAGAGAGTGGAGCTATGATTAGCACAGGAGCAGGGCTGGCATAAATAATGTTTAAAGGGTATTGATATGCAGTTAGTAGATAAGATCTGGAGACATAACTGTAGCTAAATGGTGGGGTATTATTGTCTTATGTATAGGAACTTATGAAGAGGGTATACTTTAAGGATACTCACTCCCCAAAACACAAATATATATATATATATATATATATATATATATATATATATATTTGTAAATACATACATACATACATACATATATATACACACACACACACACACACATACACACACATTTATACACTTTGAAAATAGACATTTTTGTCAGTCAGACTCCAAAAAGGTGAAAGGGAAAAGAGTATTTAAATCAACCAATTAGTATTATGAATTATAATTAAATATAAAGCCTATTTCTTTAAAGCAGTTAATTATGGAAGGACATATTTACTCAATGGATCCTTTTGCATTTGGTCGGAGGGCTTTGACAGCCAAATTTAATAACCAAAGTCTTCAGAGTGCTGATCATTGTCCTTTCAGGTAAGGCTTGTGTGCCAATAATCACAAAACTGTCCCTTCTCTACAACTTCCTGTCACTACATATTGCTCTGTAACTTCACTGCTTGCTTCAATGAAGTCTTCATGAGGGAAAATAATCAGTGAAAACATAACTCCATTCACAAAAAAAAAAAAAAAAAAAAAACAGAGAGAAAGAAAAGAAAATATAACTCAACTCACCATATCTTTTCCCCCAAGTCACTTTATTAGGCTAGAGTCATGTATTTGACCTTCAGCATGTATATGTTAAACTGCATTTTTTTTTCTCATTGTTTGGAGTCAGCTTCTCAGTTCTTTTGAGATCCAAGCCTCTGGTGATCACACCATGTGTAAGAGGGGGATTTCATAAGGTAACTTCTACTACTTATCACAGGCAACTAATTTATCTCTCATAATCTAAAGTGCATTCATGGCTGAGAAGGCCTTTATGAGTCGCGAAAAGATGAAGCTAG